TGTTTGACGAGTCCAAGAAGGGCGTCCATGACACTGAGGCCAATCAAGTTGACATCTGAGCGAAGCAAGGACTGCATCATGGCTGTGAAGGCCAAATGCTGCGGTAAGCTCTCCTCCTGCATGGGCGTCTTATTTAACATGTCAAGAGTCGCAAGAAGAATGACGTATCGATCCTGCACGGGTGTCCAACGAGCGATAATGTCGTAAAGCTGAATAGCCCAACCAGAGTCGCGACCAGACCCTCTGTCTACGATAACCGGAGTCTCCCCTTCTGCAATCCTTGTGGAGACAAACTTGAGCAATGCATTGGTGGCTCCGTAGATCTGGGCCCTGTTAGGGACGATGAAGATGCTCTTCAAGCATTTCGTAGCCAGTACTCCCGTTTCCTCCTCGGCAAGGTTGTCAACATCCAGCGCAGTGCCGGAGAGCGCAACTGGGTTTGTGTCGCCGGCGGTATCGGCAGTCCGGACAGTGGCTATACTCGTTCGGCGATGCAGCTTCTCGGGTTCGGATTTCTCGCCCATCTGCACGCGCTGCAGCAACTTGTCAAGGAATACATCATCCCTGGTCCACATGTTATCGAGAATCATGGGCACGATGACGTCGATCTGTCTACCAGATTTCGAAGACAGGGCGTCTGAGCCAGCAATATGCTTGATGGCCTCGAGGCCCGCGTTCCGCCAGCGAATCTGCAACGGTTTACTGACAGGACCCTTGGGTGGTACGCGTCGAGTCCAGGCCAGTTGAGCGTAAGATTGGACCACGGATTGGTATTGTTTCAGGTAGGCATTGTCACCAAATAGCGATGATACGTCGTGGTGTTCGCAGAAGGCCTCGAAAGTAGGCAAAGATGACTCGACCATGGTAATTTCGTCGGAGCGTAGAATCAAGTCGAGGATTTTGAGAACGCACGGCGCGATTAGAGCAGCTTCCTTAGGGGGCTTTTCGACGAGGGCAGCCAGAATACCCAGCGTCACCTGGACATTTCTATATGCGGCCAACGATTTTGTTGTCAGTAACCCGGTTTGTTCGTGACCACGACAACAGAGGATAAAAACGCAACAACAGGGGCCCATGGCTGTGTGGCGAGGAGGTTCACGTACCCGATTCGCATGCGCCAGACATCGTGAGCGGTCTTCTTTTCGAGGAATGCGCCAATCTTCTGGATCTTGGAGCGACGGCTGGTGGCATAGAAGAGGAGATAGCTCAGCTCACTGCTGTTGGGGACTACATCAACCGCGCCCTTTGTAATCTTTGGATAGCACTTGAGCACCAAGACCTGGTGTCTCGGCCGGCATCTGTCATGGATGGCCTTCATGGCACCGGCGGTACACGGTGCTGTCGCCTCTCGCCTCCCCTTGGACGACGGGAGAAGATGGTGAGGGTCAGAAAGGGAGGTTTTTCGGAGGGGGGCGCTGCGCACAAGGGGGGGTGGCAGTGAAGCAGTGAAGCAAGAGCTGCAGCGGGTTGCTGAGGAGGGAAATTAAGGTATCATGGAGAAACAAGAAACCAGAAACGAGAAACAAGAAACGAAGAGCTAATGGAAGAATGCGGAGGCGAGACGGGATGTCGCAGCTGCGGACCCAGAGGGAGATGTACAATGACGAGCCGCAACGACGATGTGGTTGACACGCAGGCCAAAGTTGCCGGTTGCCAGTTCGGTCGGGCCCTGTCAGGAGGTGGACCAGCGTGGCCAGACACGGTTTAGTGCCTTGATGGCTGCCTTTAAAGGTCCCCCCAATCAGGCGTCATGTCGCTTCGAGTGTCCAGATATTTGTATGGATAGCCTAGCGTAGGCCAGGTACCTGGGATCCATGCATGTACCCTTTTTGCTCGGACAAAGTCGCCAGACCGACAAGGTACGTACTTTACGCGCCCAGATACCTGGGACACTCTGCCCAACTTGCAGCAGAAGGAACGGAGCCGGGCAATTTTTGGGTCATTCAGTCCTGTCCGAGCCCGCAAACCTCGAGGTAGCGGCAATGCTGAGGTCTCTCAGGTACCGCTACAAGGCGCTGCCAACAGAAGACTTGGTCATGACGCGAGGGCTACAAACGCAGGACGAACTCCAAGTTCAATTTCAGGGTGAATGCCCCGTGCCTTTGTTCATTTGCATCTGGATCTAATTCAGACGTTGAAAGGGTCGCGCACAAGCCGATGGCTCCGTCTAAATCCAAGTACAATTTACGGGGTACTCCGTATGATGACGGACAATGCAAGCAATTCTTTGAGTTGTGCACCTCACCACCTGCACCTGCACCTCTGTCCCATCTTTATCACCATCTCCATCTCCATCTCTAGCCTCGCATCGCACCTCGCAAAAACCAGCAGCTCTTTCGGGCGCCAACTGCAGCAAGGCCGGGCGTTTGATGGGAAGGAATAAAGCATGGACATGTCGCTCGCTCCCTTTCGCACAGCCGACATTGCATCCGTCGCCCGCCAACCCAAAGGTCGCAATGTCCAAGTGTCAAGCCCCTCGGTTCTCTATGCAATCCGTGCTTCACATGGGCAAAGATGCTGCCACAAGAGCCATTTCCAACCGCTGCCTCGGCGCGCCCAATGTTCCCCAGTCGACTATTTATGCTTAGCCAGGGTTGCCTGCACCAATTTGTTCAACGGGATGCACGGCAACGGGGGCCATTGCATTTCTAGCTTGAACTGTCTCCCTCAGCCAGCCTATCGGATTCTCGTTGCTCTTCTGGGATAGCTCAATCTGGTTGTCTTGGTGGTTTGCCTTTCTCGTTGGCTGCGAGATCCGTTCATTCGCTCAAAGCTTCACCAAAACTACCAGCTCTCGCCTTGCTTACCCTATACAGGACGTGGCTCTTGCTGCGAACCACGCGCACCCATCCCGCGACCTCTGTTTCTTGCACAACCATAGCCAACCCCCATTTGTCAGAGTGTACGTCCTTTTTTTGGCAATCATTGTTCTGGGGGGCTTGGGGAATGTGGGAAAGGGCTGTTGCGAGTTCGGTAACCGTGACGAGATTCCCACTAACGCCATGGTAACTTGGCAGCTCTCCCCGCGAAAATAAGATGAGCTATCCGTTAGACAGGACTCCAGGGTTCAAACCAACACTTGACCTGATGAGACCCTGATCGTCCGTGGTGGCAAGTGATCCACGGGAAACCAACTCCTGAAATGTTAGGGCACAACAACTCTGGACGAGGCTACCTCGACATTCGCGTTCCCCAATGTGCTCGACGGAATACCTTGCAGCCGTTCTTACTACATCCGGGTTGAAAGTTGGCCATTCAATGGCGCCCACCCCAAAGTCTGTTGTTATTGTGCTCCGTGTCGATATCCATGGCATCATACCATCTATTGACTAGGCGGTGAAATCGCCCGCCGTTGATCATCTAAAGCAAGTATAACGTACTCTGCATCGTCATTTGACACAGGAAGCATTCCGCGGCCAGCGTAAGCATGTCTCATGAACCATGTGTAATCAATACTATTCACATTGGTAAAACGAAAAGGGCTAGCACCTATGTCTGTACGATTTGTTTCGAAGTGGTCCAAACATGGCACAACGACATGTAGACCAGGTACCTGGCCATCGTGCCGTATACCTATCCAGTTGGCACAATAATATAATACAATACAGTAGTGTATACTTGCTCCTAGGCGGATAGGATATATTCCGCTGCAGACTGTAGTCCACGTATCGGCTGCTTCGGGCCATGATCCGGAACACAAGACCAAAAATCCACATTAGAAACACGCAGCCTGTGCGACGAGCCTCGAACTCCTAAAGCCTTGTGCTACGCTGACTCCATCCATCGTGCTTACACAGCAGCCCGCCCTCACCACTCGCCATGCCATCTCATCACCGTCTCACCGGGCCCCAAAGTCTACATGCCCAAGCCAATAGGGTTGCGATTCCAATTCGTCACTTACAAAGCTGCTGACCGAGTGGCAAGACGCGTCTACACCACACACAAGTTGCGTAATCGGGCCAGATTTAGGAGTGAAGCAGTTCGGCCCAAGCCGTACAGGACATGAGGAAGGACTTGTGGCGGTTTAGACTTGGGGCGTAAGCACATTTTTTTTAAAAAAAAAAAAAGATACCAAGTTGAAATAGCAAGGCACAGTGTAGGCTTAAATCTAGGTTAGCAATTCAGTATTTTATTTTTTGAATTGACTTGTCCAAGGTCGTTTTGACTCCCCATAGTCGGTGCATATGTGTCCAGGAAGAACAACGGGGAACCCGAGTTGTCAACAGCAGTGCTCGTAAGAAAGCAGGCAGGCGGCAAATGAAAAAGGTCTCACGGTAAGACAGTGACACAAAAAGAGGGCTCGATCAGAGATGCCTGCTATTGACGATGGCAACCCGTTGGTGCCTACACAAAGGGGGGGAAGCGACTTATCAAGCGTCTATAAGCGATGAACCCTCAACTAGCTCTGTTTATCAGCATCCCAGAGACTTGTATCATCCAACACTCTACAGTAGCGTGATCCTTCATATAGTATGAGAATTCCTACTAACAAAATGCCGTAACTTTAATCTCGGCAGCCTCCTCGTCTATTTGTGCAACCCAGTCCTCATGGGCCCTAGCTGGTTCCAGTCACCGTTCTGTAAACAGGAAATACTCCTGAACCCAACCAACCACCCCGGGACGCCAGTAAATGTTTCAGACACAACGTTGACCTTCCAAACTCCCAATGGGGGCTTGCAGAAACAGCTCTAGTCACCACGGCCAGTAAAACACCACAGCCGCCCGGCCAGGATCATCGCATCCTCCCACAGATCCTGCAGGAAGTTTCCGACTGACATCAATCAGCCGGCCGAATCAAGCGAGCCCATCATGCGCAACGGATTCCCTTTGCTCACCGTGTTCTCCGTGGACGTGTCCAGGTCGAGCCCCCTTATCCAAGTATAAATTGGAAGGCCTTTCTTGACAAAAGGACTTGATGGACTGTGTAGATGAAGCAGTAAAGAAGAAGAAACCAACAACTCACACCATCTCTGTGCCTACCCAGCACGACTTGCTGCAAAATGCGTCTCTCCAGCGTCCTTCCCACCCTCGCAGCCGCGGGCATGGGCATGGCCGCACCCACGGAACTCGAGCAAGGACAAGACGCAAACTTCAAGCGCGAGATGCTCGCCGCGCACAACTTCTTCCGCGGCCAGCACAGCGCGGATCCCCTCTCCTGGAACCCCGATCTCGCAAAAAAGGCTCAGGACTGGGCCGACACCTGCAACTGGGCCCACGATGTAAGTCGGCGCCGGCGGTTCCCCATCCCCCAAGCGCCCTGCCCACCCAACCAACCCACGTATACTAAGCAGACATGAAATACAGAGCGCCGGCGAGAACCTCGCGTCCGGCACTGGCCTCGCCAGCTGGGGCAGCTTCGTCAACCTGTGGGGATCCGAGCGGACAGAGTACGACTGGGCAAGCCCGGGCTTCTCCATGAACACCGGCCACTTCACGCAGGTTGTGTGGAAGAAGACGCGGTCCGTGGGATGTGGATGGAACAAGTGCCGCGGCGGCCAGGCAAAGGCCAACGGCCACTACATTGTGTGCAAGTACGATCCTGCTGGCAACTACATCGGCCAGTTTGCCGACAACGTGGGCGAGCAGACCGGGGGTAAGCCCACCGACGTGTGGCAGCAGTAAGCTGGGACATTGTACACAAGACAGAACGGTCTTGTTTTGTGAAGAAACAGAGTATGTAGCTCACCATTTCACTCTTGAACCCGGAAGGGGGGCAGCGTTGAGAGGTGTATACGTCGTATATAAAGAACTGACTAGCGAAAACGGACCTATGTTTCATGATGGAGCCTTGAGAAAAGATATGGATGTAGATGGCAGCAATACAAAACTTTGGATGGAGTCTGACCAAGGCTGCCGGTATGACTTGCCCTGCAGATGGCGTTGTAGTCGCTCCGCAGAGAACTTGCAGCAGCGGCAGCATGTACTTGAGGCATAAACGGCCTCGAAAACAGCTCTCTTTATTCGCTTAGCTCGGCATCCACATGGACGTGAAGAGGTGTTGACGGCCAAACCATCCGCGGCCCAAGGCAAAAAAGTACAGTCCCACGACATTATACACATGGCCGTTTCTGCAACTGAGATTCTACACGTACTCACCGCGCACCACGTTAATTACGCTTTGCCGGTTGACGCCCACACCCCCGGTACACAACGGGCCAGGCATCAAACCGCAAGTCCAGATGTCCGCATAACCACAAGTCTGTCGTCCCCGCCTCATCCCCGCCTCACTCACATCACACAACTTCCACACCACGCCGACGTCATCGCCTTCTCCCAAGATTTAGAAGCAGCAAAAAAAAACAAAAAAAAAAAAAACACCATGGCATCCATCGCCCGCTACAGTCTCATCTTTTACGCACCGCCCGCCGCCGTCGAAGCCTGCAAGGCCGCCATCTTCAAGGCCCGCGCAGGCCGGTACCCCGGCCCGGGAAACTACACCGAATGTTGCTGGTCCGCGACTGGCACCGGCCAATTCCGCCCCGGCAACACGGCCAACCCGCACATTGGAAAGGTCGGTGCTCTCGAGCAGACGCCCGAGGTGCGCTTTAAAAGCAGCAAAAAAAAACAAAAAAAAAAAAAACACCATGGCATCCATCGCCCGCTACAGTCTCATCTTTTACGCACCGCCCGCCGCCGTCGAAGCCTGCAAGGCCGCCATCTTCAAGGCCCGCGCAGGCCGGTACCCCGGCCCGGGAAACTACACCGAATGTTGCTGGTCCGCGACTGGCACCGGCCAATTCCGCCCCGGCAACACGGCCAACCCGCACATTGGAAAGGTCGGTGCTCTCGAGCAGACGCCCGAGGTGCGCGTAGAGACGCTGTGTGTCGGACTGGATGTTGCCAAGAGTGCTGTCGCGGCACTCAAGGAGTATGAATTCTGCCCTCCCCCAATCTCGTCGGACTGTATTCCGTACCGCGGAGTTGACTTTCCCATCGCAGAGCGCATCCTTACGAAGAGCCGGCTTACCAGGTCATCAAATTGGAGGATCTATGATGAATTCCCTTACAGCTTCAAGTTGCGCGTAGGTGGAATGCTTTTTTTCCGGAAAACAAGAAAATTAAATGGATAAACAATGTTAGTCATGGACGTCCAGTATACATGTTGAAAAATATGTTGCATTTGCTTTATCATTTGGCATCTACTGGCTCAACTCAAAAGAAAAAAAAACATGGAATATGACCCAGTCAGTCCTGCTCCTGCAACCTGTATAGTGTAAGCATGTCGATTGTGACCGTCTTCTCCCCGAGATAGGTTCTAACCATCAACACATTAATACCCTCAACGCCGACATTCCTGCTTTTTTAGGCCACCGATGCAATCACAAGTGCCGCCACATTTTCTTCCTCGCTTCTGACTGTAATCTTTGTCGTCACCCCAGACTTTGATGAGAAGGCCATTCTCACACTGGCTGCCACTCTGCCGCCAGAGACAGTCTTGCCCAACAGCTTGAGCGTATGTGTGCTCTGGTTGACGGGTACATCTGTGCCTTCCAAGGGCTGCAATGAAAGAGCCTTGGCCAGTTGCTCCGTAGCATCTGCAACAAAGTCCATGTTAGTTAACCAACAGTACTTTTATTAGTTTGCGAATCATGAATCCACTCACCGGCGATGCTCTTCATGCCGCTCAACTGCAGAGTCTCCTCTGCCTGCTCTCCCGAGGCACCAATCTGTTCCCACACATGACTGAAGTTGCTGGCAAACGTGGGCACAATGTAGTCGCTACCGCTGAGATCAAACTCTGACACCTCATACTCGTCATCGTAACCTGTATCTTCCGGCTCCCCGGTCGAGGGATCAATCTCCTTGCTTGTGAATTTCAAGATGTTGGAGAACGAAGTAACAGGCATGGAGCCCTCTCCATTGACCTTTTGGAACGCAACATACACCTTGCCAGGCTCGTCGGTTACAAGTTTCTCGCACTGGATGATGAAGACTTCCTCCAGTTCGTCCTCCTCCCCGGGTGTAGCGACGACCGACACATTCTCCAAGACGGTATCTGGCAGAGTGTTCTTTACTTCGTATTGAAGAACGATGTGCTCCTTGAAGATGTGTTTCACAAGAGTCACAACGTATTCGGTCTCGGCCTCTGTCAACTCGACGACTGTTGAAGACTTGAGAACATTGCCAAACTCCTTCATTTCGGGGACCTGCATCAACTCCTCGGCATATCGCTGAGCTTGAGCGGAAGCAGAAGCCGCAGCCTCTGCGCCGCTGGCCGAAGCCTTGGCAGCGCCGACCTTGGGTGCTTTGATGGTGGGTGCAGTGGCTGTGAGCTTCTTTGACCTGTCTTCGGCATCCGCTTGCTCCCGGGTGACGACGGGAACTTTGGTAATATCGAAAGGCTCCGCAAAGGAACTTTTGTCGTCGGAAGTGACGTACATGACAAGCTGGTGTTCGAATACTGGGAGAGAGAACATGTTTTCTAGGTTCAAATTAGCTTCCATTTCTCAACTCAGTCGTCGGCGTAGAGGTTTATTTTTTGCATACCATTTTTGACAAAGTTCTGCGCCATCTCGTCATCTTCCTCACCCATGAGTTTCAAGTTCAGAGCTGCACGATCACGGACCTCGTCATCGACATCATCCAAGCATCGAGTGAGAAGGACCTTGACACTGGCCTTGACATCAGGGTCCTTTTGTCCCACACCAAACTTGGCCAGAGCAGTAACTGCAGCAGCCCGCACAATAGAATTTTCGAGAACAACTCTGTTGTAGATGTATCGAATATACTTGGTAGGCTGAGAAGTCTTAGGCCCTTCCAAACCAATCAGGTGCAGAATACGGACAGCGAGTTTTGTGAATTCGCAGTCCTCGATAAACTCGCAGAGGTGGGCCAGAGCCTCGTCCTTTGAGTCGGGAACAAACTTGATCAAGTCAAACATGCTTTCTACAACTGCACGCTTGAACTCATATCCACCCTCGTCTCGTAGAATGCTGCTGAGGAAGGTCAGCATACCCGCCTGCTTGCTGGGGAACTTCAAGCAGAGTGTTCGGATGGCCTCGACAATGGTAATTTTGAACTCGTCGGTGATCTCCGACATGAAGCTGGAAATTTGCTTCATGAGTCTGTCGACGCTAGCCTCATTGCCGGTCTTGAGGAGAGTGGTGATGGCGAAAGTGGCGATGGATCGGTTCGCATTTGAAATCAGAAGCTCGATGTCGGGGTTGCAGACACTGACGGCAGAAGGCTTGAAGGAAGCAAAGCTGTGGAGTATTCGGAGGGCGGCAAACTTGGTCACGGCTCGGGGAGAAGTCAAGAACAGCTGTAGAACATGGACTGCCTGATTGACTTCGCTATCGGTCACGTCGCGCATGTCGCAAATGGCCTTTGCGGCCTCGAAATTGACCATTTCACTCTTGTGGCGCAGCCAGCCGTCAAGGAGCTGCATCATGGGCTTTCGAAGAGAAGCATCTTCCTCAGCAAGCTGAGCAGCCAGTCGGACAAGCATGACTGTGGCAGCGGGGTTCTTAACAGCACCAGCAGAGCCAAACTGCTGCACCATCTTGACCAGGGCCATTCTGTCGTGCATTCGCATCTGGTATAGCAGTCCGATGGCGTGGTATTGTGACATTGTCGAATTGTTCATGGGCATCTGACTGCTTGACGAGGAAAATCCGAGGGAGAATCCGCCAGAGGACTTGGTCGAGGCAGCGGCCTCTTGAACCTCGCTCTGCCAGCGTCGAACAACATCCTTGGCGACGGGCAACAGGTGGTATGAAGAGACGAGTGCGGCCGATGAGACTGAGGGGTTCTTATCAACAATTGCTGTCTTCATAACTCGTTCGATCGCTTGGACAGAGGTGGCCTTTTTGGGGGTTAGTTTTTGGCACTTGCGGAATGCTCGAGGTTCCGGGGGCACAAACGTCAATAATGCGGCACAAGGCCCGAATAGCGTTGGGTCTAAATATGGCATCGCTGCTGCCACCAGTATCCTTCATAATTGTGGCCGTAACCATGATAATATCCTCGGCAGAGCTGGCCAACTCCTTAATGACGAGGTGGACCATCTGTCTGAGGCTGGCATCCTTGTTTTGGAAGAGCTTGGAGATTCCGAAGAAAAGGGTAGTCGCTTCGTTGGTCGGGAACTTCTCCCCAGTGTAGAGGAGGAGAGCAATCTTGGTGAGTAGGATTCGGCATCGTCGCGGTTGAATGGTGCCTTCGTTGAATATACGTGCTGCAATGTGGCATTAGACGGCGTGCTATAGAAAGGAAGAGAAGGAGGTGGGCACCGCCAGATTGGAATCAGGCGAATTGACTCCGACTCACCTTCTTGAAATACCTGGGTTCGGTCCACCTTGACCAGGCCCAGGTCGGCGTCCTCGTCCTTCTTGCCGTAGCTCATTTTGGGCGCTGCGTCGGAGGAGGATTGGTCGTGAGCTGTCCAGCTTGACTTCAAGCGCAGCACTGGATAATCAACCACGTTGGCACTTGGAGTCTCAGGGATGGGGGGTGAGCTCTCACGTGATACCCCACCCTTCGCCGAAGTTGAAGTGCCCGACTATTGGCGGGCCTGGTTGAGGTGTAATGTTTAGATGGGGCATTTGGTACTTGCAGCAATGTGTCTAGCTATTTGGCTCAATTAAATGTGAAAAAATTATTTTGTATTCATGCCCAATTTTTCGGGCAGGAGTTGAAGAAGCTGGGCCCAGATAATCGTGAAGTGGACGGTGTCGGACACTTCTTATTGGCAGAATAGCGGTCATGCCGTTTAGTACCAGGAAAGCTACGTCGTCCCAGACCCCTGACGCATTCACGCTGAGGGAGTAGAGCTTCGCAAACCACAATGACTTTCAAATGTAAATATTTCAATGCTGTATAACTATATAAGACCATAACAGGGACACTGCACGCCCTCTTCGTCGCATTGGCCATGTGGCGTGTCCGAGTGGATCACGGCCCCTTGAACCTGAAGACCGACTTACATCATTTTCAACCACCCAAAGTTCCATCCCAAATTTCCGACATCAAACCCGCAAACCCATCAACACCCCCCCCAGAATCACCATCATGCGGCCAACAACCCAATTGCCGCTACGGACGGTCTCGCGCACCATCAGCACACCCATCCACACCCGCCCTCTCCATGCCACGACATACAAAGCAGCCAACGTCGCCCCGGTCCTCGGCACCGGGCCACCACCGGAGCCGCCGACCCCAGCCGTTCGCAACATGAACGAGCGAATCGAGCGCCGGCGGAAACAGGCTGAGCTGCTGAAGCAAGCCAAAGTCATAAGAAACGCAAAGGACGGCAAGACCACGGCCCTGCGGAAGAGGTTCTGGAAAGAGGTCAGCGTGCAAGAGGTAGACGGTAGGTTTTGCTCAACCACAAGTCGCTCGCCGTGTTTTTTTCTATTTTTGCTAATGGCCGCGGCGTAAAAAAAAACAGGCGCTCTTCAAATCCACCTCGATGCACGGCCGCTGCGACACCCGCAGACCAAAGAAGTCATTCGGCTGCCCCTGTCCAAGCCCAACCTCGCCTTCGCCATCGCCCTCGAATGGGACACCCTGACGTCGTCGCTGCAGGCCACCAAGCAGCACTTCATCCCCCTGACCTCGCTGGTCTGCCGGGCGTTGGACATTGAAAGGGACGACGCGTCGAGCGCGCCCGGCGCGGCAAAGATCCGAAACGAAATCACCACCAGCGTCCTGCGGTACCTCGACACCGATTCACTGTTGTGCTGGGCACCGCCCGCGGGAGAGCATGACCTGCGCAACGACGCGGGCGAGTCTCTTCGCGATGTGCAGAAGCGCACGACTGACGAGATTGTCTCGTTTATGACGACGCACGTCTGGCCCGGCATCAAGCTGGAGCCCGTGCTCGACGGCGACGCCATCATGCCCAGGAAGCAGGAGGACGGCGTGCGGGAAGTCGTCCAGGGGTGGGTGTCTGGCCTGAGTCCCTGGGAAATGGCAGGGCTAGAGCGAGCCGTGCTGGCGGGCAAGAGCCTGGTTGCCGCGGCACGCTTCATCACCGAATGGAGCGAGGGACCTGTCAGGAAGCCCAACCTGTCCAGCCATGTGCAGTTTGGCGTGGAAGAAGCTGCCAAGACGGTCAGTCTGGAGGTGGATTGGCAAGTTACACAGTGGGGAGAGGTTGAAGATACGCACGATGTGAATAATGAGGATGTGCGCAGGCAGTTGGGCAGCGTTGTGTTGCTGGTTTCGGGAACGGGCAAGCATGCCTAGAGTGAAAATTAGGGTGGATGTGAAATGTACTTTTCGAGCATTGGCATTGATGTATACTATAGAACAGTAGACTGCGTATACCATGTTGACTCATATCAAACAGAAGTGGTCTGAAGCTTGAAGAGGAATTATGTCCATCAAAAGGTCTGAATGCAATGTAGTACGATGGCTCCCAAAACACCCCTCAAAATAATCATTCATTAACGCAAGAACGCTCCTTATGCTAGATAAACAACCCAGTTCATCCGACTTGATTCTGTATTGGCACTCCCCCCCAAGGCATCAAAACTCGTAGTGTCCCAGTTGGAAAACGACCCAATCATATCCAAATCTCCAAAACCCTGAAACTCAGGTTCTGTCGAAAAGTCAAAATTCGTTGCGGAATCGAATGCCACCGACTGCAACAGATCGTATTCTTCCGCTCCTGGAGTGGTTTGGAGCCGCGGATCGGGACTGGCTGGGCTGCCTTGAAGGCGTCAGTATTGAAAGGGGAAAAAAAAAAAATCATGTAAGTGAGGTCTTGGGGATGAGGACGAGAATGGGCGCACTTTCTGACTTTACCAAGACTTTGCTATGGATGATCTGAAGCATTTTGAGAGACTGTCGCCCAGAGGCATTGAACGAAGCAACATGCTTCAGAATCTGTTGGCATTCGTCCCAAGCCGTTGACATTTGGGCTTGATTGAGTGACGGGGCGAGGGTGGGACATGTCCTCGCTATGATAAGAACGATGCCAGCCGTACAGGCATCTGTCTAAAATGAGCGACTGAAATTACCAAAGGAAAAGAACAACAGTTTGGATGAGCCACACTTACACAGGACATCCCACCACCATGACCCTGGAACATGTGGATTAAAGTTGGTATGAAGTAGTCGCAACAAATCAATCGCCGCTTCGACACATAATTTCGCACATTGGAGCGATGTTCCTGCTAGAATAGGATCCGTGAACGTAGTTGATTCTAGCTTGGGACCTGCGGATTTTGGTTGCTCGTGTGTTGAGAGGTGTGTTAAAATGGGCCGACGGAGATATATAAAGCTGTTTTTCTGATTAGCATAACACAATGGCTCCAAAATAGGATCGTCAAAAAATGTGAATTTTTTAAAACATGTGGCAAGACATACCGACCATGAAGCAGCAGTCTCTGATCTTTAAACAGCGCTGCATATTCAGACGGAATCTCTCCCCCTCTCTTCCACGAAAGAGTCTCGTGCTCAGAATTTTCGAAATCAGTTAGCTTCTTATGCAGCACGATAATCTGATCGAGGCTGTAATACGATGAGATGTTCCCGCTCGTGACAGGAGATAGATCAGGCGACACGCGATTCATCCACGGCCGGTATACCTTGGATAGAATATCCTCCAGTATCCCGCAGAGGCGAATGTTTTCTCTGTAGAACCGAAACCTAGGTGCGACCTGATGTGGCTCCACAGGAATTGAGAGATTCTGCTCAAGCACAGACGGGAGCGGCAATACTGAAATGTGTTGTGTCATAGCCGGGCGGCCGTATGTCATGCTCACGAGTCACCAGCCTTCACCGCACACGTATGTGCGTTCATTAGCTTACTCAATCTCACACAGCCACCAGCCATGATTGTGGAAACTCACATGTCCTTTATAATACAGCCATACCAAGTCCTCCGCTGAATCTCCTTCTCCAACGCGCCCCTCGTGTCCTAATGGTGCTCTGCATGCAGACCCAACCCCTGAGCAACTCTACATGCGACACCGCTCGCATTCCAGCACCGACTTGGATGCGGTGTGCCCTGGAATTCAACGCAATGAGCAACAAGGTTTGCACGGCACTCAAATTATTCGCCTCTAAAAGATCAATATTCACAAAGGGCTTTATCCTAAGGAAAAACGTCGTCGAGGCGGCTGGTCGCTCGGCAGGTGGGAGGTCCGGATAATGACACGCCAGTGAGAAAATGGCATTCAATGCAGCATGAAAGGAAATCGTGTTTGCGTCACCGTTAGGATAACAACCCAGCCCGAGACTGGTTGGTGAAGAGGTGGAAGGACGCTTTGGCTCAGCATAAGATTTCCAGAGACTGCGATATGTAGCCTTAAATGAGGGCAAGTGAAAGAACGGATACATGTAGTACACCTTCTCACGAAATGTGGCGACCAGGTGGTCTGCGAGGTCGCGGGGCGGCAGGGAGAATTGATGAGAGAGAGGGCACGAAGTAGGATGAGCCGCGGCGCCAATCGCGGCCTGCTTCTCGCCGGGGCTACGAGGGATGGCACTTCTTGTAGTACTTCATGGAGTCGAAGGCTTAACGAGGCTGTAGAGGAGCTGCCGTAGAAGTCTTCGGAGACGGAAACGTTGTCGAAGATGACGGTGCCCATGGCTGAGACGCTGCTGTTTGGTTCGGCGGTGACGATGCCGTTGTCTACGGAGGCTGCCGTGTTTGATGACTGGGCTTGGACGGGCGCCGAGTCTAACGACGAGGAATCCTTGGTGGGCGTCAGCCGCAAGAAGCTGTAATCTGAATAGATTGGCGATGAAGATGTTGGTGTTTGCGTTATGTCGGCTTCAGTCTCTGCTTTAGTAATTGGGGGGAGGTGAAAGTCTAGCGACGGAACTTTGACATGCGAGTCACTGCAGACTTGTTCTAGTTTCCGGATACGACTGTGTGAGACTTTAATATATCTAGGGCCCGACAGGATTCCATGTCAGCGTTGCTGGTGTCGACATTCTTGTCCGCCTAACAGGACAGACAGACATACTCATCTGTGCTAGCCGTCCTCGCATTCTCCAACTTATACACGCATCTTTCTAAACCTAATGCTCATCGACGGCACATGGAGTAGATGGGCTTCTCGCCATCACATGGTGACTTGCGTCCGCAACATGGCTCACATGCCAGACTAATCTTGCGGCGACGTTGGCGTTCCTTGCTCTGAGGTACCATGTGGACGGTGCGAGCTTCTAGGTGTTAGCGAGTCAATTATTTCCCGAGGGTTCGTCATGGAATAATTGAAACCCATGATAGTGCACAGTGCCAGAGATGAAGTTTGACGGGGTGAAGAGCCAAAGGACGGTTAAAAGCACAAGTCAATCGGTTGTCGTTGAGCCGAAGCCCCAGAGACATGCACCTTCCTCCTTAGCACAGGGCATCATTGCTGGGTCACTAGCTCAAAATGGATGGGCCGCGGGGAACTCGCTTCATTTGATGCTTCCAGATGTCCCTTTCACATCGCAGGAGCCTTTGAACCCATCAACGATGCCGACGACAGAAAATTGGCTCAACTGACAGCTCATTTTTAAGTGCCAGGTGGTGTGGGGAGTCAGTGCTAGTTTTCATGGGAGAATAGAGACTCCGAGATGCCGTTTCACCACCCCGTGGATTTGCAACTAATGGTTTGGGTTGTCAATAACCAGTCACTCGGCAGACTTCGCTGCCAATCATGTTCCAAGTATGAATTGTACAAATTGACTGCGTGGGAATCATATAAAAATCTTGACAACTGATTCGGGCTGTCTATGACCAAGTCACTGGCAGACTTCACTTATGGATCTTACACATGAACCGCGTGGGAAACATGTACTCCTCTTGTTGCATCACGGCCAGCCATCACCAACATCTCTTCAACGCCAAAGCCGCAAAACCCATATAAGTCATCAAAAAAGCAGGCTTATTCTACCAATTATATAGGCAAAGGCGCTCTAAACCTTGTACTTCTGTGTCAGCTGTGTGATAAAAAGCCTAGTCAGGACTCAGAGGCCCGAGCTGGGACAAAATGTGCCAATACTTCCTCGCCGCGAGACTGGCTCTAAACCCGGCCATAAACACCAACGCCCACCGCACCAAGGCCAACACATTTCGCCGGGCTCTCAAATAAGCGGCGGACGGTAACATCCTTTTATCCAGGCAAAACAGCCTCCTCAGAGCTGAAAAAGGTTACTACTACCTAGCCGAATGCGAAAAGCTAGTTAGTAGTTGGCGCCGCCGGGGTTTCTGCACATACCGAGGTCCACAGCATTCAAAGGCACGCTTCGAGGCGCAAAGGCATCCAAGTATCCGGATCGGTTGACTTGCTAGATATGTCCTGGGGCTAGTGACCGTTTGAAAATGGGCCTATTGGTCCCTGGTTATCGCTCTCTACACCACATGTATAGCAGCATGTTGTTGTCTACTTGGGTTTGGCAACTAACTGCCTCTTGCAATAGACATTAGGCTACCATCGATATTGTGCAGCTAAGTTGCCGTTCGTCCAAGTCTTGTATCTCTGCCATGTTAGCGGAAATATTCAATGATGCCGCCACCAACGCCTATATAATTATGCATTCTCATTCACTACCACCTTTGTTTGCTCTCCGCAAACATTCCTACTCGAGCGACTTAGGACCGGGTGCAATTCGCTTCCCAATATCCTGGTCATAGCGGTTCCTCTGTCTCTCGAAATTATAGTCAACCCGCAACGAGCGTTCTCGAATACGCCAGAAGAGCCATTCTGGGCCTCCTTTCTATAAAAACATACGCACCCAACGTTAGTAGACACTCAAAAAAGGCATCAAAATATAACGAGAAAGGTCGACGTACCAAGCTAGTGATGTATCTGCATATGCCCGGCAGATGGACAGTACCGCCGTAGCCGCTGTACGCCGCATCCACGAGTTTGTCGCTCACGGTTTTCACGTTTAGCAGTGGAGCGACGACATTGGATTCATTCGTCTTGCCGGTGAAAAGAGGTGTGCGAATGAAGCTAAATATCCCAGCGTAAGACGCACTCTGGGAGCCTTATGCAGGCTCTTGAGCTCCAGCTGCAGGCCCTGTGGAAAAAAAAAGCGAGCAGCGTGACGACACGTAGGAGTATTGAGCAGTGGCAGTAACGAGGCATTGACTAGAGAGCTCGCTATATAAAGCTCCCCTGTGTGCGCAAAAAAAAAAAAAAAAAAAAAAAAAAAAAAAAAAAAAAAAAAAAAAAAAAAAAAAAAAAAAAAAAAAAAAAAAAAAAACAATTACACCTCGTGCAAACCCGTCAAGCCAGCCTTGGAAGCAGAGTAATCGACAATGGTAGGGGCCGAGACAACGGAACTCATGGAGCCCGTATTCAAGATGTGGCCATGGTCCTTGCGCACCATCTCCGGCAGAAATTCCCTGACGAGGAGAAACGGCGCAATCAGATTCGTCTTGAGGGTGAGCTGCACGTCGTTGGACGTCCCTTCCATGATGGTCGACCCCCGGGCCAAGCCGGCATTGTTGAAGAGAACAGTAGGATGGCCGACCTCGGCCTTGATGCGGTCGCACATAATCTTGATGGCGTAGGCATCGCTCAAGTCGCACTCGTAGAAGTGTAGTCTTGCACCAGGCGGCGGCGTCCACGACAGTGGAACGTAGTCGAGAACGACGAAGCGCGTGCGAGGCTTCCTGGCGATGAGTTTCTGGCAGATTCTTGCGCCAATGCCGCTGCTCCCCCCGTGATGACGACAATCTCATCGTCCCAGTTTCATTGGGAGTCGACGACCCAGTTATTGGCGGTCTGCTTGTTGAGCTGGTCGTTGAGAGCGAGGACGAGGCTTGCGGCGGCGAGCCAGTAGACTCGGGAGCGGATAGTTGCCGCCCGGTCCCGCGAGCTCCGTTGGGCCAGTCGAGAAAAGAGCGGTTCCCATGCCAGGCCCAGGGCCAGCGGGAGCGTTGTAGTGGGAGTGAGAATCCAGTTTCGGGCCACGACGTCGAGGGTGAAGCCTTCACGAGAAAACATGGCGTGGGTATTTCTCCTTTCTAAGCTTCAGCCCCTCAAGATGCCCAGGACGGGAACGGAGAGATGAAATAAAAGAAGGAAAGAAAGAAAGAAAGAAAGAAAGACACGCATGTTTACATAATGTGTCGCTGGTGAACTAGAGTGGTTACTGACGAGACGCATACGACCAGATTGGATGCTGGCTGGTGACTCGGGATGCACCCACACCTCTTTCAAACCACGCGCTTCAAATCCACCAGCACTTCCAAACCCACACTCTTGTCGCAGAGAATATAAGGGTGTATAACACACAAAAATACTGTGGCGTGGCCACGCCCGTTTTTTGGTATTTTTTCGTGTGACAACTCTCAACCCCACACCCGCGCACGGGATGACGGGCCAATTCTTCACACACTCCAACCGCATTACCTGGCGGCTCGTCTTCAACTCCGTTCCCTCTTGAATTTTGGCTTTTGCCCCACAACGTGATGGAGTCGAGCTGGTTCGCGAGCTGCTTGTCGTTGCTGCCGCTTCGTTCGTTAGACGTCAGATAGGAACCATCGATTGCCTCGGACAGAAATCAACTGCCACCACGGGCGGGCTAAAACCAGATTCCACCGCTGTCAAGCATTTCCAACAGCCTGGGCCAGCAGTTTTGCCTCCGTCCAGTAACAGACAGCATCACCGACCTGGCTACTTGAGCAAGACGAGCCATGACGCGGGTTGAGGTTGATTTCCTCCGTACCGAGGCTCCAATTGGAGTCCCCCGCACTTCGCCAACCCCTGACTAAGGACCAGGAAAAAGACGGATGGAGAAGGGATAGGGGATCAAGGGAAGCGGGTCCGAGGGGGAAATCACCGTCGTCCTTTGGAGTTTGGTGCGACTAAGTTGCTACAAGTCCTCTTTTTGGACCCTTCGCTTGGACAATCCCTACCTATACCAGATCCATGCGCAAAATGTTGGTGATTTGGGGCATGGACGACTTACACGTGAAAGCGCTCACGTCTTGTCGCCCGTCCCCGTCCCATCTGGCGACAAAAAGAACCTCGAGACGTCGAGACGGCGCAGCACGGGCAGTTTGCTCCTGTGGATGATTCTCGTCTTGCAGGGCCAATTGTTTTCTTCCAGTATCCCAACTCAGTTTTTTTCTCCCCAAGTAGTTGTTTTCAAGATGGTATGTCGATTGCTCGGTAGTGTTTGTGGGTTGGTCGTGCATGGGGGGCTTTGCTGGCTTGGGTGGCTGGACGCCTTTTGCAGCCTTCCCACGAATTAAAGGCCATCGAAATAGATGTTCTTGTTCCTGATGCTAATGTACATGGTTCAACAGGCGGTCCAAAGCACACTCGCTGTAGGGGTTCAGCAAAGTTACCCGCACCAGAATGGGCGACCAAAGCTTTCAATATGGGAATATCTGAGGCTGTTGACCAAGGCCACAACGATCGGTATGTTTTGCATTTCCACTTGATGAGACGAATGGGGCCCCAATGTTGTTAACATGTCGGGATGACAGTACCTTTACGCATGGCATGGTATATTCTGCGAATTGTGTTTTTCTCCGCCAGGCGCAGGTTCAACATCAAGTACTACGTGTTCTGCGCCATTGTGAATGCCGTCTTCACCTCATTCAATGATCGTGAAATCCAGATTTACTCACAGCCTACCGTGGACGCTTATTACACATGGGTCAAGAGCAAGCTGGGACGCACGAGGGAACCTGCTCTTCGCCAACGCCTCGTCCATGACATCCAGCCGCTGGGCCAAACAGGCGGCTCGCTCCTGTGGATTGGAAACCGCCGCAAGGCTAGCAAGATTGTGCTATTCTTGCACGGAGGTGGATACATTGCCCCTGCTCTCCGCGGCCACTATGACTGGTGCTGGAATGCCTACGTCCTGGCCGGCAGAGAGGCCGGAGTCGAGGTCGCAGTCGGCTGTCTCCAGTACACGCTGTTGAACGATGGCAGATTCCCCGTCCCTCTAGTACAGGCCGCAGAGGCTCTCGGGTCGATTCTCGATTCCGGCATCAGTCCATCCGACATCTACATGGGCGGCGACTCAGCGGGAGGCAACCTGGCCATGCAAGTCTTGAGCCACATCCTCCACCCGCATGAAGGAATCCGTCTGTTGCAACTTTCGGAGCCTCTGGCAGGGGTCTTTCTGGTGTCGCCCTGGTTGAGCAACAATGTATTCAGCGACTCGGTCAAGCGAAACAACGGCAACGACATGATATCCACCGGGGCCATGGATACGCTGGGCCTCGCCCTCTACGGGGAGGACCAGATCAAGGCGCACAAGGCAGATGTCCTTGCGGGGGACCTCTCTGCCGCCAATCCATACATGACTCCTCTCGACACAGACGAGGCCTGGCTCGATGGCATCGGGGACGTTACCTCTAGGGTCTATCTCACAGTTGGAAAGAATGAGATTCTGTACGATCAGGGTGTCAAGCTGATCAGCCTGCTGCGATGCAGGAATGCTACTTGCCAAATCAGACTGGACGAGTCGCCAAGGGAGGCTCACGATTTTATACTTATTGAGAATATTTTTGAGAAACCGGGAGATGCAACGTCGAGGATGAAGAGTTGGTTCAAAGGGACCATCACAGCCAGCTGAAGGAATTGACGGAGGGGGAAGGACTCGCCAAGGTAATCTATTTGATAGAAGTGAATGTACTGCGTGTGCTTCTCCGTATTACTGAATCGTCGCATGTTCTGCATGTAGTTGCTCATTGGCAGGGTTAAGACGCCACGTCCGAAGAGCTCCGGAGGCGGAAACGGGCGTCTCTTTCGGCACGCAGAGGACCATGCGTGGTGCAACTATGGTACGAGGGCAAGAAAATGGGCCGAGAATAAGTTGACTCGATGAATCAAAAAGAGAGAATGAGGTCAAAATTCAAGTTTTTCTTGCAGATCCAATTTAGTCTTGTCACCTTGGCAATTCAACCACACTCCTTCGTCTGGACCCCATTCCGTGTCCGTCCGGAGCGACTCTTGAGCAATGTGAGCAATGCAAATTATTCGATGTGCGCAGGGGCTCATGCAGGTTATTTGAGGGGAGGTTTTTGTCAAATCTTATGCCAATTTGGATATTAATGGCCTGTTGGGATCTAGATTAAACGCCGCAGACATCATTACGCCAAGGAGATGTGCAATGCCGTCTAGACATTACTTGCTATCTGACTTATCAACAGTTGTCACTTTGGGTACCCTAGTCGGACACGCCTCATGTTTATAAGAGGTCATTCACTCTTCGCGTCGTGGTTTCATTATCTCGCACCGAGCTGCTCAAGCCAACCTATATATCCGAGCTAGCAAGCTCTCATGAGAAGAATCTACATGGAATTCTTGGGAATCAAAAGTATACACTTGGACGATTCCGTTCCTCCATACCGTACGATTAGCAGCCATGGCCACCGTTCAGCAGACTCTCGGCACGCCCTTGGCCACGACAGATTCCCCCCTGATGGGCGCTGCCAATGCCACCATCCGTGAGAGTGGCATCATCGCTGCTGCGGTCGCCGAGTTCCAGCAGTCTCCCATTCGATATGCCGTCTCGACCCTTCTTGTCACCGTCCTCATCCATCTCTACAGACGGTCGATTCCAGCGCTTGACGTAAAAGAGCCACCGCTGATGCTTCCCGGGATCACGTTTGTTGGCCACCTCATTGGCCTCATCAAGAACCAGGCAGGATATCACACAGATTTACAGTAAGCAGTGGATCCAAACGCTCCTATATGGAACCTGTCGGCTGATTCCACGGCGCAGCAACAAGACTGGAGCTGCCATTGCTATCCTGCCCATGCTCGGCGGCAAGACATGTGCCATCTGGGATCCTGCCCTTGTCCAGTCTGCTCTCCGCCAGAAGACTCTCGGCTTCGAGCCATTCGCCGTAGACTTCTTGCAAACCATGCTTGGGATGAAGGAAGAGTCCTACAAGGCCTTCCGAGAGATTCCCGAGCTCGTGGTTGAATTCTTCGACGCCCTCCATGTGACTGTTCGTGGCGAGCCGCTGCACCGCATGAATGCCAACGCCCTCAACTACATTTCGTCCCGACTAGATGCGATCAAGGGAAGCAGCAAGATGCCCGTCGACAATTTCTACCTCTGGCTGCGCGAGCTGATGACCTCAGCGACAACCACCGCCCTCATGGGCCGTAAGAGCCCTCTTCTCAAACACCCCGAGCTTGTCAATGACTTGTGGTGCGTATCAACCCCCAGACCGGCTACTTTAACTGGTCACAACTGACCTCGTGAAAGGACTTGGGAAAAGGCCATTCCACCATGCTCATCAACGCCGCGGGCTTACAGGCCCGTGAGAAGCTCCAGAAGGAGCTCGGCAGATATGACGCCACCCGCGGCGACGAGGACGAGACCACGGCGGCCGTGACCTGCGAGCGCGCCGCGGTTCTCCGAAAATACGGCCTCCCCGACAGTGAGATCGGCAGGTTCGAAGCCAGTCTGCTCCAGCTAGCCACGGGCAACACCATCCCCACCACCTTCTGGATGGTCGCCAACGTCTTCACGCGGCCCGACGTCGTCGAGCGCCTCCGGCACGAGCTGGGACCCCCCGTGCAGCGCAAGCAGGGAAGCAGCGTTGCCGCCATCGACATCACCGGGCTCGACGACGCGTGCACCCTGCTCGTCAGCTGCTACCGCGAGTCGATCCGCCTGTCCAACCACGCCCTGTGTGTCTGGCGCGTCATGGAGGAGACAATCGTCTCCGACGGGCGAGGCCAGTCCTACGTCCTCAAGAAGGGCGCCGACGTCCAGATCCCGGCCGGATACACCCACCGCGCCGACGCCGCCGAGTACGCCGCCGACCGCTTCGTCAAGCGCCAGTCCAAGCTGTCCGCCCAGGCCGAGAGGGCCAAGAGGGCGGCGTACGTTCCCTTTGGCGGCGGCAAGCACCTCTGTACCGGGCGCAACTTTGCCTTTGCCGAGATTCTGGGGACCGCCGCCGCCCTCGTCCTGGCGTTTGACGTGTCGGCTGACGGGGGCGCGGTGCTCTCGTGCGGCTGGCCAGGATGGCAAATACTACCGTTCTGGGCGGTGCGTCAAAGCCGGAGAGGCAGGGCGAGGGCATGAGCGTTGTTCTCCGGCGACGGCCTGGGTGGGAGGATGTCACTTTTGAGTTTGAGGCTGTTGGCAAGCGGGTTTGAGCAGGAAAGTCGGTAAACGGCCGAGACTTTACGCCGCGGTCGGTGGGTGTTTTTGCGGTGGCTGGACATTATTTGCATATTTATTGAGAATACATTGTCTCTTTGAGTGTTGTGAATGCACTTGTTGCGCGGACAGCTAAGGTTTGTTAAATCTGGGTATTTTATTTTTCCATTTTCTTGGAAGGGAAGACTAGAATTATAAGTTGCCTGCAGAAATAATATGTTCAAGTGTATAGCAAGTAGCTGTTACTCGGTTTACTTATATCTGGAGTTTGGTAATATTGTAACATGGAATGCGCCGGACCTTACTCATTGCAGCGATGGCGCCTCCCGTGCAAGGAACGGCCCCATGTCTACCGCGGGGTGGAGCAACTCCGGCGCCGGCCCAGGGACGCATCGGGCCGAAGATCCATAATATTGGCCGGGGCATGGCCCGTTATTCCCGTTGCCACGTTTTGCACCACCACCACCACGAACTTATTTCAGCTGGCCTCAGCTTCGACGTGGATGGTGTGGATGGTGCACCATGCTCTACTCCAGTGTGTTGCAAATATCTGACCCCTTCCCCTGCGAAAAGCCATGGTGGAGTAGTTACACTCTGCTGACTCTGCGGTGCTTTCAACAACATGTTTGTGGACAATTGCCGTGTAGAGCACTGTATATAAAACCATTTAATGCTCAGAAAAATACGGGTTTCAGTTCCATATCTAGAAATGCCTTTGTACGTGAACAAAGTGCCTTTACGAACGAGTGTTTGGTGACGAATCGGTACAACTGCCCTACGTTCACTCTCGCAAATAACCTTGCATCAACGCCCTTCCCCAATGCCAATTCAGACCGCTCATACTTAACCCATGAGAACCTTTCGTCTGATCGTGAGCCCAACCTGCCTTAAGGCAGCAGCAGTATTCGAAAGTATGTAGTGAGTGAGTCCTCAGTCGACTTCAGATGGACGAAAGGAGTACTTTGCAGGTAATGCTTCGCCATCGCAGGGACCCGACAGGCACATTATCGGTCTGCCATTGACAGAGTGTAAATACTAATCCTCAGAAGACAGACGACCCCTAGAACGCTGACGACGCCTCCAGGTCATCTAGGGCGGCTGCTTTTTAACATCGTTGCCACATATCAAACGGATTTCTTCGTCACCGTCCATGAAGTTTAACCAGTCATGGGTTTGGCGAACTAATGGGGACGAGAAGTCCGGTTCCTGGGTGGTATTCGATGGTAGAGACTCCAGCGTAGAGGAGAGGCTTTTGGACGCGCGAGTGGTTACCAAGTTGTTCTGGGATGCATTGTCGTCGGATCTTGATAGATGGAATCGACCACTTTAAGATTAATCTACACACAGCCAATGGATATGTTAAGGTTAATACAGCACTAAACAGCTTACGCTGGCCATGACTCGTAGCAACTAACCGTCCCAGGTAATATTCTGGACCTGTTACTGAAAGAAGCAAGGTGCTTCACCTTGGCATCCCCGAATGTCAACATACACGCTTAAAGGTCTCGGATGTCCGGTGGATTTACGGGATCTCCGTCAAGCACTGGTAGATCTGGTCTAATGTGCACCTCAGTCGCTCCCTTGACCCTATTGTCATCGGTGCCGTAGCTGTTAAAGTGTTTAGAGGTGCCAGTGACGGGTATTCCCGGGGAAATAGTGTCAAGGGCAATATTGAGGCGGAGCATCAATGTCGACTTCAAGAGGTCCACCATATTGGTCTCACTGGCAATATACCTAGCCTATGGGACAATTAAAGGCCTCCAGACTACGGGGCAATCTGTAGGAAGCTTCATAAACTTCTGAAGGCAAGCCGGATCCTCCTTAAAGCTGTTCCATTGACGCAAGCCTCGGCGTCGGACTCGGAGTGTCGTGAATCTTCGGTCAACTCGGTCTGCAGGTGCATCACGAGGGTAGAGAAATGCCATCTCATCCTCGGGTATTTCTAACAGCTGCTCGACATTCATGATGCTACAGGGATAAGTTGGCGTGATTAGAATAATGGCCCGGTTTGCCTCGCGACCGACCATCATCTAATTCCTCCTCAAAAGGCTGACGCGCGGCGCTTGCACCAAGCATCGCTGATATCATGACGTTCTGGACCGAACCGTATCGGACTCCTGTTGATGCAAGCTTACGGTCGGGATTGTTGCGACAGCCCTTGAAAGACCTCATCATCAACTCCAGGCCACGCAAGGGGCAACACAGAGTCGGCAAAGCAGCACAAGCCCGAGGAGTCCTGCGCCAAAATTCCCCGCAGATAAGAGTCAGGACACTGCTAGTGCCGCCTGAGCAGCGCTATCGCGCACTCTCAATTATCAAGACCCTTCAGGACATTCCACGCTTTGCGAGCCGGGTGCCGTACGTGCAGTGTCAGCTGAGTAGCGACATTCAACTCGGATACCCAAGGCATCGCGTCTGGCGACTCCTTGGAGACGCGACCTTGCCATCGCTGACGAGGGAACACATACGCCAGCTGCGACAAACCCTTATCCAGGATCTTTCAGAGCTTTACGCCAAACAACTTCCATACACTCCCGATCTGACAAGACTTGAAATCGTGTCAAAGACATCAAGGGACAGATTACGGAGGACTATCTATAGACCGCTTATTGATGCCTACGATTTCGATCTAGATGTCGTCGGTCAGGCAATACCATGGGTACAACTTGGGACACAAAAAATACGATTTGTCGAGGCTCAATTCCATGTTCTTGAGGAAACCACACCCCCCATGATTTATTGTTGTCTATCCGTCTTCCTTCCTCTGTTTCAACTAGTTATCTCTTTTAACCCCTATAGGCGTTGGCTGTGCTCTCACAACCTCACCAGCCTATGCGACTGTCAGCCGACCTCGAGCCGACCTGTGTTGCCCGAATACTACGGAAGCATCGGCCACCAGTACAGCAGCAAAACCTAGTTATTCGCCGCGTCAAAACCTATTCCGCCGAACTCGGCCAGCTCGTAATCGAGCTAACCCGGGACCATTTGCGCAGTCTCCCCTGGCGCACAAGCCCACCTACCACGCCGACACAAAACGCAACACTCAACCGTTGTTCCATAATCGACCATACGCTCGGCCTGATTAACCTGTCCATTAAAGATAACAGCGCGTGTATAAAACATGGCAGCCTTCAGAAAGATCGTGCCGCCCTGTAAGTTATCTGTGCAGTCTTGCTCATCCACCAACATGCCAAGTCCGTGAAGGCCCTGGCGTCAAGGGGACTGCTAGAAAGGGCCAGTAAATACACAGCGGACTTGTATACCTCTTGTGAGAATTTTGACCTTGTCATGAGTGCTTGCCGGATGGCAGAGGATGCGCTTGATGAATTGGCTAAACAAAGGGCCGAGCTGGGCCGAGACATCGGTTGGTTTATCCGGACAGATGCTTGATGAGTTATATGTGCATGGCTAAAGTAGTTCTCGCGCCATGCTGTGGTATGCTGCAGCACACGCTTTTACCTGTGCGCTCGCTTTCAAAACTGGCATTTATGTACTCAATTTGGTGCAGGTCTCCAAGTCTTTGCTTCCGAAGCAGGGTATCTCTGCAGAGGAGGGGCGTTGCAAGAAACGGCGACGAGTCTCAGAGAGCAAGAAACCGTCTTTCCTTGCAACGAAGAAGGCCAGAACAAGGATTGGCATTGTGAGCCATACTGGCATGGTTGTGTCACGCCCTGGAATAGCCAGGCTTTTTTGACACATGCGAATTGGGAACTGGGCAAAATACGGTGATAAGTTGGATAACATCACGGAAATTGCTGGTCAAGCCCGTGATGGAATGTATATTTGCCGAAAATGAAGTGTACACTATTATACTATAGTATCCCATAGTATACAGCACGCTAGTCAGGTAATCTGGTCAAATACTTTTTGCATGTACGATTGTTGTGTAAGAAAGAAATTAAGCACGCCCATTTACTAGGACAATTCTCTCTTTTATAGCTGAACAAGGGCTTGTATCCATATAGATTCTCCGCATCCTGTGGCCAAGGTGCCTGTCATCGTGTGACGAGGTTCAACATCTACACAGGACAAACATATAATGCAATGGCCCCCTTGGTAAAACAATCGTCAACTGCATGTGGTCCCGTTTCCGCTACAATTGGCACCCTCTCCTGCCTGTTCTCCAGAGTCATTGCATCTAGGTGGCCTCCACTGGCAATCATCCCCAGAAAGTGAGAGCACACAGTCCATGCAGACGGATCAACTATTCAGCATGGCAACAAAGTAGGCGTTGGCAGACACGAAATCGGAAGTGGAACTTGAATTCTCTTATGGCGACACAGGATTACGGACGAGATTGGGCATGTAGAGGGCGTATCTTGGGCTGAAGCTGCAGAGGACACAGAAAGCTGCTGAGAAGTCATGTACGTTTTCGCCAGAGAGCGGTTGCGTATACGTCACATTTTCAGAACCAACCCACATTTATTGGGGAAAATACCAAGAAAACATGTACGGTTTCCACAAAGGGGCAGTCTCGAGACTCCAGACTGAAGCTCGCGCAGCGTGTAACAAGGTCGAGATTTGCCCATACCGAGCTGAGAGCCCGCCGAGTTCACAACCACAACCACACCTCGCCTCAAACGGAACCCGCGCCCTCTACACACGGCACCTCTTGGGAAGAGCAATGGATTCCACCCCCCAGAAGAGGCAATTCGCGAATCAAAACGGGAACCACCTCCCTCTCCTTTCCAAATACCTTCCTCGCCGTCTCCACCGCCCTCTTGTCCGTCATCTCGTCCCCAAACTGAGGCAATATCACGCCGCCATTCACAATCAAGAAGTTGACATAGCTGTGCACCGGCCTGTGCCCAAACTCGTGCTTGGTGACGGCTAAATACTCCTTCGGCACAACTTTTTCTGCTCTCGGCTCCTGCATCTCCATGATTTCCAACTTGCGTCCCTTGGCGTCCGTCGCTGAGGCCAGGACCTCGCGAGCTTCGGCGTACGCACTCACCCAGAGACTCGCCTCTTCGGTATCGCTGGGCGTCGATACGACAACTACGCCCGGGCAAACAAAACGCGCGTAGGCGTCAATGTGGAAATCCGTCGAGTCGCCGTTTCTAAGGCCCGGTATCCATATGAATTTTGTGACGCCCAGGGTGCGACTAAGCTCGGCCTCGATCCGAGACTTGGTCTGGCCCGGATTCCGGTTGTCGTTGACGAGGGAGCTCTCGCTGGCCATGAGAGTTCCCTCGCCGTCTATTTCCAGGGCGCCGCCCTCGGTCGTGATGGACGACGAAAGCGGTCGAATCCCCGTCTCGGCCAGGTAGTGCTTCGCAAAGCTGCTGTACGCCTCAGAGCTGGATTTGTTCCCCCATCCGTTGAAATTGAACGTCACGCCGCGCAGCTCTCTTTTTCTACCTGTGCTGTTTCTCTCAATTGTAAAAGTGGGCGCCATGTCTCGCATCCACACGTCTAGTCCGCCTCCGGCCAGAGAATGGACATGTATCCCATGGCCATGTGCTGAGCGAAACCGCTTCTCGGCCCGTGGTAGACACTCCCGATCGACTAGGAGGGACACGGGCTCAAAACGAGCAACGGCCTCTGCGACGGAGCTTACATCGTTTGTGGCGCGGCATAGGGCTGCGTGGTCTTCTTTGTAGGGGGCAGCTTTGGGAGACGGCCAGGCAAGGATTGTGCGCGCGTGTTTGGCCCATTCCGCTGGGCGGCAGACTGGGATTCCCCGGCTTGGGACCATTGGTGCTGACACTAGAAAAAAGCTTGCTTGTCTCTCGATCGTACGAGAAGACCTAACACATAATAGTGAGTTTGATTTGTTCAATTCACGTTAAGTGACTGAAAATGAAAACTGTGGGAGTCGTGGAACTGGTGATACCTGAGGCCCGAGGAGGCTGTGTATCATACATGCTCAACGACATGGGCCCTCGGAACGTGAATGTCTCGGAGTATGCGGAAAAAAAAAGACGGTATACAATTGCATCCAGCCACTCACAAACTCAAGGCGCTCCTTCTAAAGTCGCAACCCCCTAAAGTCCGAATTATTCTACAACCTCACGTCGGCCTTGACGCTTCATATGTGAAGTTGCTGTGGATAACCATGAGGACCGGCCTAGTTACCAAATTAACCATCTTCGACAAGATTGGCGTAAGTCCCAACTGCCAAGCGCCCCTTGTAAAATTCCTACAGATTCAAGCTTGAGACACAATTGTTGTTCCCATACGTGGACCATAAGCGCTGCAGCTCCCAGAAAACATGAATGGATCGGGCACGCCCTCATATACTATGTCTGAACCGTTTACGCGCCAGCTCGCCACCATCGTTGGTTCGTCCCAAGCCGTCATTTCGGAAAACGACAGGCCTCGTTCTACAAAGAGAACCGTCCCAATGTCGCTTTCGTCGCGGAGTGTGAGTAGTTGGCCAGGGGTTTCCAGCAGCACTGGGGCGTCCTTGACTCGTAGCAGACTTGGCAGCAATTTCGGGCTCTTGAAGTAGAGCCCATCGTAGGATGAGGTTGTGATGATTTGTGTTATTGCGTTCTCCAGTGGCCGTCCCCGTTCCATCGTATGTTGCAGCAGCACCCGAGGAAATTAACCCGCCTAACAAAGGTATGATACCATTCACTTTCGAAACTACACCTTCATCTGCGCCATACGCGTCCTTCCTAGGTGCATGTGCGTCGTACTGAGCCTCTTTTGGTGAATTCATCGGGCTTTCACAGTTGCTAACATGATGAGAGGTCGACGTGCCATCACCAGAATAACCGTCAATCCCAGAGTGCCTGCTCGTCTGCTCCTTTTCAACCAGAGAGGCGACATGATCTAGGATAATTATAGACTCTAGATCATTGACTGAAGTAGGTTTCAAGTGCAAAGTATGAGAATGGGCATCGCAACAATAGCACTCGAAACTCAAATACTCGATCCAAGTTGTCCACTCGTCTTGTCTTCTCAAGTCCATGTCGAATGTGAAAGCTTTAGTAAATCCGCAGTGACTGAGCCGTCTTCTGGCCATGGCTAAATGTGCTTGAAACTTTGTAGACCTCGAGCCGTAGCCACTGCCGGATGGGGGGCGATTTTCCCCCTCGCTGGTGTCTTTCAGCAATGCCTCTGGTGCATCTGCATCCGGAAAAGCCTCCAATTCCCTGTTGGATTGTTGCCAGGCCCTAAAGCGTTGCCAATTGGAAAGTTGTTTCTCAAAGATGCCTTTCCAATCTATCGCCAAGTCGACCAAGGGGGCCTTGACCCATGGGCCCAGGAGCTCGAGGTGCTTTCTGGGATGTTTGGATATGGATGCTGTCTCACCAAGCGGACATATCGGTCTACCGCCAGCCTTAATCAAAGAGTTGTACGCTTGTAAGATGTCAAATTCTTCACGGCCAGGACTGTATGTAGTCCGAATGTCTGCCGACAAATCAGGAAAGACAAGATCATCGATTTCAGCAGACATCGCATCCAAACTCCGTAGTATACTGTCAAAATTTGGCGGAACAAACTCTCCAGCTTCTCGATCTCTTTGAACAAGATTTCTATAGAAGAGACATCAGCCATGCGATACACAATTTTGGGTCAAATAGGAATATGAGATGCCTACTTTAGGGCTTGTAATAAGGCCCTGTTACCTTCTTTGCAAAACACCATTGCGAATGACTATGCTGTTGGCATTAAGTTGGAGACGCAAGGAGAATCTCTAAAAGGCAGCACAGAAACAGTAGAAGAGCTTGGCTTCTCCGTCCAGAAGGTCGAGACCGATGGTGAAGAACGAATTCGAGAGACCACACAATTCCTGGGGCAGGGTCTGTCCGAGGTACAGATTTCTATGCTTCGGCTGTAGGTGGTGCTCGCCAAGGGTCATGAGATGGTTGCCGATTCTCGTTACACGGCGCATGGCACTCCTGTTTTTGCTATGAGGTTTTGTCGCCTACCACTCCTTCATGATGGGCGAGGAAACTTGGTGTGACGCAGCAGGGTCTTTCAAGTGATGCTGGATTAACTTGATTTGTATCTCGGCAAAATCCTTGCTTGACTGTTCAAAGAACGAATTCACGAAGCTCTTACTCACACCTGAAAACGAGGAAGAGTCGTAAATCCGGCCAACAAGGCTCGATGTTAGACGTTATTCTGGGTAGGGGGGGGGGGCAAGCAGTAATAAATAGTACTCTGAGTTGGTATGGTCAGCAAACTTTTGGTTCCTCGGGTCCGAACACGGCGACTCAGCGCTGGTCGACTTGCCGTGCCTGCAGACCGGTGTGGCGACAGACATGCTTCAGCAATGCTGCATTGCTACTGCATGAAGCCAAAGACGGCAGCGTTGATATTTAGGTCAGAGGTTTTATTGATTGCCGTTGGCAACGTCCATGGTCACTGCCCTTGTGGCTTCAAAATCCATCAAAAGGTGGCGCATAGACAGGAAACCGGTGAAGACGCACCCTTGCACACGGCTTGACGGCCTACAACCAAAATACCAAATGTGGGATATGATAGCCGATCATCTGGCTCCCTTCACTCAGGCCATGTCCAGGGGCACCACTGCGGCCGTAGCATTGGGTGCGAGACAGACAGATAACCTGCAACTCATTGCTATGGATGTGATTTGAAAGATGGCAGAAACTGGTGAGCAGATATTCCGCAATAAATACCAAACCGCGCGGGTCGTGTGTAGGACACCGAGACACCGGTGAGAAGTTGCATGAAGCCATCCCGGCTGGTTGCGCCCAACGATTGAGGTTACCATGCATCCCGCCCGTGATAGTACCGGAGCCAATTGCAGTGGCAGAAGGCAATCTTCGGCCGTTGTTGGTCGAATTTGGAGAGAGCCCTGACCCATGGAAGCTTCGGTTGCAACTTGATTTACTCCGTACGTCTCCGTAGCCCGAGTAGGATTGCTAATGGCAACCGTACCCGATCTTCCGTACGATCAAATCGATTGTTGTGGGCCGCTTCGCCTCGGTCCCCCAAGTGATGTACAGTAGCCACGTTGAACTGTGAGCATCCTATTCTCGTCTCAGCAATAACACCACTCGTGGACAATGCTCCTCCTAGCCAGGCAGGGTAGGCGCCAATCGAAAAGAAGCTTCAATGTCTTGATGCTGCATCAATGGCGTTGCATGTGCCACTCCACGTTCTGGTTTGGAGAAATTTGGTGCGATTCAATTCTTGGCCGAATCCAGCAGACTGGTAATTAATGTACAACATGTACAACCGGTGGAACGCCATCGCCTGCTAAACAGCCACGTCTGGCAAGCGAGTTAAGACGAAACATGATTGACGAAGCCTCTGGCTCGTTTCTGTTGCTGATGGCGTTCAGCCCAGTGGGCGTCAGCTGGCGGGAGTGTTCGCGAGGCTTGCGATAACTCTTGGTCTCATGGAAGCCCAAAGGAAAGCCAGCTCCCCTCCCCCCCCCCAAACACACACCCAAAAACTGGTTCCATCATGCTGTGTCCTGTGCTTCATTAAGAATGCAGCAGTCATAATGCTCCCACAGGCAGGAAATCTAGCCCGAAGCGGGCCCTGACACTTCCGACCACGCGGGAGGAGTCAAGGGCTTTTGCCAGCTATTTTTAGATGTCTTTTGCCTGAGCCTTTGATCTTCCTTTTTGGTGGAGTCGCTCCGACAAGGGTTTTGACTGAAATGAGGTTCACATAAGGACATGGTCACCAATAAAAGAGAACGGTAGCCCCTCTGTCCCAGAAATATTCATCGATTTTATTGCCAAGGAAATGGCGATTCAGCTCCAATTTTGGTGGGACGCCTTGAGTCTAAATCGTTCTCAAACGCAGGTAAAGCCACCGGATCCTGGGGGCTGCTTCAGGATTCTTTCATGCTGGGTGTCGGGAGGGGGGGGGAAACACTTATAGTCTTCGATTCAGCCGACAAGGTGAGACATACCTAGGGGCAGCGGAAAGAAGCAAACAACTCAGATTTTTGTGACACCACAGCCCCAGCGCCTGTCCCCTTCATTTACCGCAGCCCTGTACTCCGTATTCCGTTCGATACTAGTACTCCATATTGTCGTTGAACTTCTTGGCTGTGTACTGCGTAGTCACGTTCTGTCTAGACCTATTGGTCTTGGCTGAGGCACGCCGACCCTTGGGCTCGTTGTTTTGTGGAGGCGAAGTTGATTACGGAGTGGCGTCACCATGGACCATGGCCATGGCCATGCGACATGGCTCCTCGATCCCTTTTGCTCCAAGCACCAAGATCCCTTCTCTGACTGCTTGTGGGAGGAAGCCAAGACACTTATCCCTGGTAGCCTCGACCAATCTCCGTCTCAGTATGGTGAAGAATGGCTCTGCCTCAAGATTGCCTGGCCCTGCGGTATTCGTGGCAGCCCAAACGGTTCGCTCAAAGCGCTTCGCCCTCTCCAAATCAGGGAGCTGGAGAGAATATGGGTGTGTCAACCACAACGAGTCGGGTTGGGCGGGTCGGGCTATTCCCATCCCATGTCGAGTGTATGCCGTGATGGCATACGGAGAAATGGGCCATGGTTCACTTCAACCCTGCCAAACCCTCCCCTTGGCGTTTTGTGGCGGCGTCCCGTGGCCAGCACTTCAGCACTGGGCTCTCGTGCTCAAAGCTTCGTGACGCCAATAGGTGGTGAGCCGAGACGCAGCACCAGCCCCCCCGGACTGCGGCAGGGCGCCTGGACGACGTTACTCCCAAGATGAATGCTCCCGTCATCCGGGGAGCGGGTGCGGTTCAGCGGCGGCTGGTTTTTTTTTGAAATAAGTCGTGAGTTTTGGACGTTTTTGACAGTGACAACTTTGCTGACATTGGGAGTCGCCTACTCTGTATCCTCACTTCTATTCTTTTGGGTGGCGCTCTCTCGACTCAGTCGCACCTGCCTCCTTGGCCTTCGGAGGTCGCGCTTCTGGAACACTTCTTCTTGCGCGGAGCAGCCTTTACTCGAGCTTCATTCCCAAGGTTACCAGGTCTGGTCGCCCGGCGATGCGGTCCGTATCCTTGGGCACCGCAGTGCTCGTCTTGCTCGGAGCCGACTTGTCTATTGCCGTGGACGAGACCCTCTTGAAGGGCTTCTCGCAATCCGCCAGTGGAGATGGCTTTCTGGCGATGCCTGTTGGCACCGTGAACCGACCACCAGGGGCAAGGCGAGCTGCGAATGCCTTTGAGGACAAGCTCTATAACATGGACTTCTTTTATGCCACAGATGGTGAGTCGCCGGGACTATTGGTCGACCGATGTCCTCACATCTCATACCTAGAGATTTGGTGTTCTTGTATATCAGCTTTCCCGCTAATTCGTCTCGACCACTTGACAGTCAACATTGGCAGCCCTCCTCAACGAGTCACAGTTCTCGTCGATACTGGTTCAAGTGAATTATGGGTCAACCCTGACTGCAGAACGACCAAAACTCGGGAGCAAGCAAAGCAGTGCCAGCAATTTGGTCAATATGATCCCCAACGGTCCAATAAATCCTACGGCCCCTTTGGAAAGGAGCAGCTCAATTACGGAGACCCTTCCGACCCCAAGACCCAAACGTCAGTCTTGATTCACTATTATTCCGATACGGTTGCACTTGGAGATGCCAAAATCGACAACCAAACATTCGGAGTCGTGGCGGAGAGCAAGGGCCAGGCCCAAGGTCTCATCGGGCTAGCACCAGACTTGAAGGGCGGTTTTACTACCGACGAACCATACAGCTTGGTCCTGGATTCCATGGCCCAGCAAGGCGTCATTTCCAGCCGGGTATTTTCTCTAGACTTGCGCCACTCTGACGATCAGTACGGCGCTGTTATTTATGGTGGTCTGGACAGGAATAAATTCATCGGTACGCTTGAGAAGCGACCAATCGTCAAGGGCGTTGGCGGTGAGTGGCGGCTCGCGGTTGAGTTGACAACGATTGGCATCACCATGTCATCATCGTCCAGCTTCGCGGTCAATAAATCCGATGCAAATGTTATGCTGGACTCTGGGACGACAATTACCCGCATGCATTCAACCGTAGCCATACCAATACTGCGCGCGCTTGATGCCAAGGATGACGGCGAAGGCTACTACCAGGTGCCCTGTTCGACCAAGAGGTCCGGGGGCAGTGTAGACTTTGGTTTTGGAAGTAAGACGATTCGCGTGCCATTGAAGGACTTTATTTTGGATTTGGGCGGCTCTTACGACACGTGCTACGTCGGCATGGTCCTCACAACAGATCAACAGATCCTGGGAGACAGTGTTCTCCGCGCTGGTTATTTTGTATTCGATTGGGACAACCAGGAGGTGCATATTGCTCAAGCCGCCAGTTGTGGCAAGAATGATATTGTTGCTGTTTCGTCTGGTACAGGTGCGGTTCCTTCTGCTACTGGAAATTGCAAAGCAAGTGACACTTCTGTTACTGGTACTGGTAGTACCCAGGTAAGAATGCCGAATGTGGAATGTTAAGGCGGAAGACGCCATATGATTTTCTCAATGGCAAGCTAACAATTCGCAGCCAACTTCAACGAAGGGCAGCGTCTCTACCAAGACTTACACGACGGCCTACACCATCACTTCGTGCCCGCCTATTGATCCCTCCTGCGTGACTGGCGTGGTGACGACACAGACAGTCCGTGCGGTATCCACGGGTGGCGGTGGTGACGATAACGCGGGGGTGCGAGTCACGGCGATAAGTTCTCTGCTGATTATACTCGGTGTTGCAGCCATGGCATGCAACGTTTCATGATAGGTCGTACATATACGGAGTAATCTTGGATTATTTCGCTTGGCGTTTGATGTTTTAAGACGTGTTTTTCATATAGACGACGGCATATATACGGCATACGACTGACGATACCCTACGAACTTGAGAATTTGTACATGGCATTGATGAGGTGGTCAGCTAAGTATTCCACCAGGGCTATGGGTATAGTCGATTACTGGAGTGGATCTCCAACCTCACTCTATAACAATTTTCAGTTTTCAGGATCCAATCTACCAGCAGCCCTGTTGCGAATGCGAAGGCTAAACAGCAGTACGACCCAACCACCGCGGCCATCAGCCGTCAATCGCCACTCGTCATCCGGGCTCCGAAATGGAAGTGGCTGTAGCCGAGCTTCACTCACAAAGTTGTGCGTTCACGCATCTCTCAATTCACGAACGGACTCTGCCACTCAGAGGTTGACCTTGAGGAGCGTTTACGGTCAAGTCCTCTCTACGACTACTAGCGGCTGCTGAGTCGCGCCGTCTTCAGAGTTGACCGAATTCATTCTCAGGCCATCGATGGCTCTGCACTTGGCAGCATACTTCTGAATGGAGAAAGCAGTGGCCTATACTTGGGGATGGCCAGTGTCCAGATTTAAACGATAGTTATGGCAAGACCAGAAGCGGCGGTGCGAAGCGTCGTGATTGACAGAACCGAGTGTGGAGCAAACAACTATGATTCAGATTAAAAGTAAATTAAAAAAATTATAAATAACTCAAGTACATTCTAAACTATAATGTGTCTGTTCGCCTATTATTAGGCCCACTACAAAGAGAAGCTATAGAATGCATATACCCTTCTAATCATGGCTCTCCATATCTTAAAGTGGAATCCCCTTTCGACAGAGTATAGTCAAGATGAGATCGGCCTCCGAATCACGGCAGTTATGGACATGGTGCTCCACGGGTACGCCTTGAGGCCAGACATTGGAAGGGCACCTGTCATCGGTGCTGCGCTGGACGAGACGATTGCCTGCGAATATATTGCCACGAACATCGTCCAGATCGTAGTAGATGAAGGGCTCTACTGAGGGTGTACCCATAGACAGTCTGTGGTCTGGTGGGATCGAATACATCGTCAGGCCCCAACGTGATATTGAGAGCGTGACCAAAATTCGGGTCGCGGGAATATGGCTCAGAGAACCTCCCCCCATGGAGCCCAAGGCAAACTGCCGGCGAGATTTCTCTGCCGACGGACCTAAAAAAATACGGGAATGTCGCAGTTATTCTCGATAACGGCGTTGCCAACTGCCAGGACAGCCCTAGCAAGAGCAAAGGTAAGGGCGAGAAGCTTGAACATCGGATAAGTTAATTCCAAAGTAACGTACCACGCCAGGTGTGACAGAGTCTTTCCGTGAGGAGGGGGAGATGACGACACAAGTGGCTTGAAGTTGATTGCAGCGCTGCGATTATACAAGCACAACTAAACACGATAGAGGACCGTCTGGACCAGAATCTAAGAACATTTACCCTGATTTGTCTACTATGAAAGGTAAATTTCTAGAGGCTTTGTAAAACAGTGTATTCTGGCTCTCAATTGCGCCGAGAAATATCCGCTAGATGTTTTAGTTGCGTCTGATAATAGCAGTTAGTAGTTTACTTTTTGGTTACATATGTATGCCAAACGTTCTTCACACACCGCCACCATAGCCGTAGCTTTGGGAAAAGTAGTTTTGCACAGGTATAGATCATCTCAACTACCGTTAGGACCAGTTACTACTCAGCGGTGATGTAAACATCGAAGTCGACCAACTCCAGAGGGGCTCGAAACGGGGCTCCTCCAAAGGCAAAAATAAGGTTACGCGGCCAGCCACAATCCGGAGATGGTGGGTCCTGACGGCACAGGGCGTGAGCAAGGTTGAGGTGCGAGGTGGATAAAGCGGTTGTTTGCAAGGAGGAAAAGAGAACTCTGACTGACTAAAGCTACTTTGTGTACACAATGAAGTGAGACACGAGAGAACAGGGCGGTCAGTGGGCCATTCACGTGGTATAGTGCCAACGACTTCACTGCCGCCATCATCAAAAGGTACATGCACTCATGTACATGCAAGGCTGCAGCTTCCAGTTTTGCCTCGTTAACATAATGGATGAAAACCCTCCCCATGTTTTCGGTTAAATGGTCAGTAAAAAACTGCCGCCAGCTACTCACAGAACATAGTAACCAAATAATGCGCATGGTCCTTTTATGAAGGCACTTATATTTCCATCTTTTATTGTCTCTCCAAGCTAAGACGGGGATGGCAAAAGCCCGCAAAACGCGGAGGTGGAGATGAACATGTGGATCTGCCAGGGGCACCCAGGGGGTCATACGAACAGGGTCCAACGGCGGGCACGTCAATTTCATCCAATGAGGAGCGCTCAATTGCCAGAAATGGCTCATAAGACAGCACTGACGTGATGGAAACGCACCGGCAAAGGAAACCGGCAAGCGCTGCAGATTATTATAGAGTGTCAGATCCGAGGTTACTCACGACAACCTCCCACTTCACCCGCCATACTTTCTCCCCCGTTTCCTCTGCATAAGAAAGAGCCGTCAGCCATCGTGCTTCAAGTTCCATCAGTCTTGCGCCCTTTTTCATGACGCAGGCGACATGGTGTTTCTCCCGCCCCCGTCGTATCCCACCCTCCCAGGTTTGTAACAGTCCCCCGAATATCACCAGAGCAGGATGCAAAACCCAAGACTCTGCAAAGCTTGACCCTGACACCTGCAGCGCTCCCCGACTCCATCACCCTCGAGGAGTTCATCAACAACCCCAAATATGGCCGCCATCCAATCGTCGAGTCGAGAGACCCCTACACATGTGGCATCACAGGCTTGACCAGGTCCGTGGCAGAGGTGGCCCAACGAACTGATTACCTCGCGCGAGGCATTGCAAGGCGATTGGCATTCAATCCGCATGAGGGCACTGAGTGGGACAGAGTCGCATGTCTGTACTCGTTGAACACGGTCGGTCCATGTTGCACTCTTGGAAAATACTACCTGGTTCTGACATGCCATGTTGTCGACAAGCACAGATTGACTACATCCCCTTTGCCCACGCCATTCATCGCCTCTCGGGAATCGTCACCCCGGCCAGTGCTGCCTACTCCCATCAAGAGCTGGAGCATCAGCTTCGCTCGTCGGGCGCCCAGGCTCTATTTACATGCGTGCCTCTGTTGGAAAATGCCCTGAAGGCAGCGGATGCGGCTGGCATCCCTCGTGAGCGTGTATTTCTCCTTGCCGTTCCCCAGGTTGCTTCGGATCCAAGGTTCGAGACCATCGATGATTTAGTCGAACAAGGCAAGAGCTTGCCCCCACTGCCACCCTTGGAATGGATCAAGGGCCAGGGTGCGAGGCAGACTGCATTTCTCTGCTATTCAAGCGGCACTTCTGGTTTGCCAGTAAGACTGCATTGCCCTCCATGAACAACTGCTTCTTTTTTCTATTCATGGTGTTTTTTTCTGTGCTACGAAAAAAAGGAAGAAGGACTAAGTTTTGCTACAGAAAGCAGTCATGGTCTCCCACCTCAACGTCATCGCCAACATCCTGCAAATTGCGGCCGTCGACTCCATCGCTCGCAAAAAACTCGGCGTCAAGACCCAGGCCAACGTCGGCGTCCTGCCCTTCAGCCACATCTACGGCCTCACATTAGTCGCACTGCTGGGCCACTACCGCGGCGACCAAGTCGTCGTGCTTCCCAAATTCAACCCGACAACCTTCTTGAATGCCATCCAGCGCTTCAAAATCGAGCAGTTGAGCGTCGTGCCGCCCATGCTGATACACATCATGACCAATAGGGACGCCGTGTCGAAATACGACCTGAGCAGCGTGCGATTTGTGTATTGCGGCGCCGCCCCGCTGGGAACAGAGCTGATTGAGGACATTTTGAAGCTCTACCCGAACTGGAACATTGGCCAGGGCTATGGTAAGCATCCCTTTCCGACCGCTCCCACCCTTCAGCTTATCAAACGTGAGTCTAAAACAAACGGTAGGAATGACGGAAGCCTCGCCGGTAGTAGCCTCTACCTGTGAAGTCGACCGGCTCGTCGGCTCATCGGGCTGCCTCATGCCCGGGTCCAAGGCCAAAATCATCGACGCAGACGGCAACCAAGTAACCACCCATGAAACACGAGGCGAGCTCCTCGTCCAGTCACCCTCCGTCGTTCTCGGCTACTTACACAACGAAAGAGCCAATGCCGAGACATTTGTTCACCACGAAGACGGCCGCTGGCTCAAGACCGGCGACGAGGTCCTCGTGAGGAAGTCGCCCCAAGGAACCGAGCACTTTGTCATTACCGATCGCATCAAGGAGCTCATCAAAGTAAAGGTAATTTCACTCTCACATGACCACTTAAAAAAAATCGCTTACACAGTCTATTAAAAAATAAAAAATAGGGCCACCAAGTTGCCCCCGCCGAACTAGAAGCCCACCTCCTCTCACACCCCTTCGTATCCGACTGCGCCGTGATCCCCATCCCGGACCCCCGCGCCGGCGAAGTCCCCAAGGCCTATGTCGTTCAGGCCCACGAGTCGTCAGGCCGCTCCGACCAGGAAATCACCCAAGCCATCTGCAAGCACGTAGAGCACCACAAAGCACGGCACAAGTGGCTCAAGGGCGGTGTGGAATTCATCGACGTCATCCCCAAGAGTGCGAGTGGCAAGATACTACGGCGGGTGCTAAAGGATAAGGAAAAGGCCAGGAGAGAAGAGACGGCTGCCAAGCTGTAGAATATGCTACGATGTACCGAGCCTTGTAAAGAGGCAACTGCGTATGCGTGTTGCCCCGCCGGAGAGATTTCTTGCGTTTTGCATAGCTTGTTTGTTTAATCTTGTCATGTTAATGCATTAATTGGTGTAGATTGGACGACCCGACAAATTATAAATGGTGGCGTGGCACGAGTCCCGAATCGACGTCAAAAACCTGGCCTTGACTTGATTCACTAATGAAACGCGTTACAGGACCTCCTTCTGAACTACGAGTTACCAGTGTCGCTTCAAGCAAGACGAAGAGGTTGTTGGAAGAAATATGTCAAGTCTTTAGCAGCTACGGCAATAAGCCGCAGGCGTCTACAATTTTTGCCCTCTGGCTTGGTTGGATTGTTTCCAACAGAGATACACACTAGATAGATGGATGTTGGGGTAAACATTCACCAAGTCAAGCCGTGAAAAATGCAAACGTTCAAATTTCAATATTAAGATTACAGAATGCCAGCCCTGTGTTTCAATCAACTGGTTATTCAAACATGTGTCAGGCTCACTCAAGACTCGAGTCCGACAATGTCCTTGTGATCCTGAGTCCCCAAGATTGCCGTAATGTCCACATGCCTTTTCGTAAGGATCGTATAGAATGATATAGGCATGAATGGTTGCTCTTCAACCTCAAATCCCCTTTATTTCCTCCTAAGCTTTTTCCCGATTGTAGCACACACATGTCTGATGAAGTCTTGGGACAAAATAAATACATAGTCTACCTTGAATAGATACCAGAATTCGCCACCACTCAATTCATGGGCGCTCAGCACAATGTAGTCAGACTCTCTACCGCTTACAGGGCGGCGACGAAAGCAGCGACAGCCAGGACCATGCCCAGGCCTGCACCGACACGTCCAGAGCCGGCAGTGACGGGCACAGAGCCCGTGGGCTTGGGAGGAATCACACCACCAGTGCCTGTGGTGACAGCAGGGGGAGGGTTCTGACCGGTAACAGCAGGGGGAGGGTTCTGGCCAGTGACGGGAGGAGGGTTCTGGCCAGCAGGAACAGACGCCGAGGTAGCGGGGGGCTGGTTGGGAACACCGCCAGTGGGAGTAGGCATGACGATGTTGGGAATGGTGACCTCCGTCGAGATGGTCTGGGTGCTGCTGTTCTCGGTGACTGTGGTAGCGACAACGACAGTGGTGTAAGGAACCTGGGTGATGCGAGGAGTACCAGTGACAGTGATGATCTGGGTGATGGTATCCGCACCGGTGGCAATGGCGGGGTTTTTAGGGATGTAGCGTCCGCAGATACCCTGGAAGAAGGAGACAGCCTCAGAGATGATGTTGTCGCTCTCACCGTGGGCGTAAATGCAGTCAAAGATGTTCTTGACGAAGTCCTCATCCGGGCAGAAGCAAGGGGCGTCCTTGTTGTCCGCGCACTTGGCCTTGAGGTCCACGAAAGTGTTGAGACATCTGGGAACAACGGGAGGGCAAGGAGGAGTCTGGGTAGACTGAGGAGGCTGGCTGGTGACCGGGTTGGGCTTCTCGCCAGTAGGCTTCCCGGGGGTGGGCTGCTCCTTGATGGTAGTCTCGGACTTGGGAGGCAGAATGACAGTCGTAGGAACTCCCTGGGACTGGGTACGAGTCTCCGTAACTGGGCAGATAGTGGTGCTCACGGGGATAGTAACGGTAACAATGTGAGGTCCAGTCTTGCCAGGGCACTCAGTGACTTCAGGTCCACAGCTTGTGATGGTCTTGGTGGAGGTCGTGAAGACGGTAGAGGTGGTGTCGTAGGTGGTAACAAACGTGGTGGCAGGAGTGGTGGCGGCAGTGGTCGGCTGGCTGGGAGTGGTCTGCTGTCCAGGAGTGGTCTGGGCGGGTGTAGTCTCCTTGCCGGAAGTAGTCTGCTGGGCAGGCGTCGTCTCCTTTCCGGGGGTGGTTTGCTGAGCGGGAGTCGTCTCCTCTCCAGGAGTCGTCTGCTGAGCAGGAGTCGTCTCCTTGCCTGGAGTCGTCTGGTAAGCGGAAGTAGTCTCCTTGCTGGGGGTGGTCTCTTTTCCGGGAGTCGTCTGCTGAGCAGGAGTCGTCTCCTTGCCTGGAGTCGTCTGGTAAGCGGAAGTAGTCTCCTTGCTGGGGGTGGTCTCTTTTCCGGGAGTCGTCTGCTGAGCAGGAGTCGTCTCCTTGCCTGGAGTCGTCTGGTAGGCGGAAGTAGTCTCCTTGCTGGGAGTAGTCTCTTGGGCAGGCGTGGTCTCCTTTCCGGACGTGGTCTGCTGCACGGGGGTAGTCTCCTTGCTGGGAGTAGTCTGCTGGGCAGGAGTCGTCTCCTCGCTGGAAGTGGTCTCCTTTCCAGGAGTAGTCTGCTGGATAGGAGTGGTATAAGTCTGCAGAGTGGTGACGGGAGTAGTCTGGATCACCTTGGTAGTGGTGCCAGGCAATGAGGGAACAGAAGTGCTAGGCTTGGGAGTGGGCTTGCCGCAGTGCCACTTGATCCCGTGGCAAGAGATCCTGCACTTGTTCTTGAAGGAGATTTCCTTGTGGATGATCTGCTTGGGGTAGACCACGCGAACCTTCTTAGCACCACCGCACTGGCTGTTGACAATAGTCGATCCACCCCTCTGGCAATCAGAGGTCTGCTTGCACACGCTGCCGTCAGGCATATCGTAGTGGAATTCGAGACGAACATCGAACTCGGCAGACATCTCGAAGCTGCCAATGGAGAAGGCATCGATACCAGCATTGGCACCAACACCAATGGAGAGACCAGCCTCATCCCCCTGGTTGCAGGTACCAGAGATGACCTTTCCGAGAGGGAAGGTGCGGCCCTGGATATCACCGCGCTTCCCAAAGTTGCTCTCGCAAGTCCAGCCGCCACCGAAGTTGAAGCCAGCATAGCTGGTGAGGGAGCCAATGGCAACGTCACTCCAGTCCCAACCATTCTCTTGCTCAGGAGTACACTTGTTGATAATGTTGCCAGGGCAAGAGAAAGGCAGCGCATCAGACCAAACCTTTCCAAAGTCGAAAGAGATGCCACCGCCCAAGCCCAAGCCCAGGCCCAAGGTAGCAGAAGCCTGCTGCACGCCGGCAGCGGCAACAGCAACTGAAAGAGCAGACTTCATCTTGCTCTTTTGCCTAACGATTCCCAAGTACAGCGAGTGTGTTGTTGGATTTCAAGCAGATAAACAAACTATGAAAGTATCAGAAACCAGTTGTGATATATTAAGCGAATGGTAGTCGAAGGGAACGAATGACTTCGACTTTAAGACGACGAAGACAGCAATGCCTCGAAAAGGAAATAGAAAAGGAAATGAAAGGTAAAGACAAGGATGATGAGAGAGAGTACAAAAGCTTAAGCCCAATACCGGGTGGTTACGACATCTATATACTAGGCGGGAGAGGACTGGCCAACGATGCTCTGGGCGGCGCACCTTGCACTTACACGGGTTCCCTGTGTCGCCAACACGCCGGGGGTGTGGCTTTCTGAACGGCTGCCCATGCACCGATGGCTATGCCGAAGAAGCCCTTCAGGGCACGTCCCTGGGTTGCATGTGGACGGGATACTGTACATCGCGAAGCTTGCAGACAGACGCCATGGAGACGGTACCATCACCAGACTCCATGACAAGCCAGGCGTTGGTGGCAAGTGGGGTGGTCTGTGTAAAGCGGTGGTGTGGTGGATGGCGCTTGTTGCAATCTTGAATCCATGTCGTCGAGTGGTCTGAGTTTAGAACCGGGGCCGGACTACGGCCGTGAAACCAGGGGCATGGCTCCAGGCCCGGGGTTTGGCCTGAAGGACGGGCGACTAGGAACAGTTGGACCGGAGGGCCATGGACAATCGCATGGCTGCGCGTCGAGTGAGGGTTTGATTCGCTGCTCCTGGGTCGGAAGATGCAGTCATTCGATGGAACCGCTGGATGCAACTCTCTCACGCAAAGCGGGATGGAGGGGAGGGTCTGCTGACACGGCCCGTCGACCATTCAGTTCACTTGCAACCAGAGATGATTAGCTTACAAGACGGAGTACTTTCAGTACAGCCATACGAAGAAGGGTTTGCTCACCGACGAGGTACAACAAGCCCGAGGCTCAGACACTCGGCCACGTTAAGGTATTATTGACAGGGGGTCTTTAACGTACACCTAAAAATGGCAATGGCTGGGGCACAAAAAGCAACGTCCCTGAAAATGACAGTTCGGTAAGGATTCGACAGCCCCAATTGACTTGTAACTCCTGCAACAGGAGAGTCAATAGCTCCTGCGATGGCCTCTGTTGTAGAAATTTAGGAAGTATACTCTGTGCTCCGTACGCCACGAGCAAACGCAGCGCGGTATTGGGCAATAGCTGAGCAGATATTTTTCCTTGGCAAAACCTGGGGGAGCCAGCTGACTGTTGATGAGATTATGCCATATTCGCTGTCATTTCGTTTGGCGGCATTGCCTTGGAAAGAAGCCGTCTGTTCTTTACAAACGGACCATGCGAGCCCCTGGTCCGTTGTTTGTTGTTTTGGTGCTGTCCGGCAACCATTTTCCCCGCCAAAAAGATGAGACAAAATGTCTAAGGTTATGTCAAACTTCCTGTCCTCGTTTCTCCTGACATGCCTGATGATTTCTCACCGAGAAATCCGGCAAGACTAGACAAGGTCCGCCCGCCTAGCAGTAGTTCGCTGTCCAGACGCCGTGGATGATACCCAATGAGACATCAAGTGTGCATCGGGTCCTCAGATGCACCAAATGAGGCCAGGCACGGAGTCGACATCAAACAGGGCTATTGACGGCCGGCGACAAGGAACAGCTTGGAAGGCAATGGAGGGGTCGAAAGAAGCACTTTGGGAGGATGTGACGAGACAAATCGAGGCGACTACTGCAGGAACACAGGGCACGAGCAGCGAGAGCCAATCAGACCGCAGCTGCGCTGAACCTTGGAGCCTCATCTTCAGGTGGCGCTAAACTGTCCCGGGAAGTGAAAAGCTGCAATTTGTGGGAAGGAAGTGCCGTCCGGCGGTACCCTTCTTGCCCTTCTCGGCTGTTGTTGCAGTTTCCCAGCGCTTCCGACCGTCGTCCGGCACCATTTTTGACATCATCGTGTTTCTGTGACTTTGCAGCCCAATTGCGTCTGCGGAGGAGCTGTTGACTCTCGCTGTCTTACCCTTGGGATCCGTTCATCTTCATCTTAAATCCCTATTGCTGCGTCAAACGCTGAGCGCCTGCAGTCTTCTGGGCGGCTGTCCGCGGCTGGCTGCACCAGTGCCCGGATTCCGACCTAGATCGGCAGTGATGGTCCCCTTGCCATGCCAGCACATGAACATGGCTCGCTCTGGTTCCGAGGACGCACAGCCTTGCTTCAAAAAAAAAAAGGGGGGGGGGGGGTCAACCCGGGGCCGGG